CCCGAATAGTATGATTTTGTAGTACTCGTCGATTTCTATCATATCTGTTAAGTTTTTTAGAATATATTGATTCTGAAAAAAAAATATGGCAGGGCCCGCGAAGGCCCGGCAAAAGCCCGGAATTACAAGTATGCATTTAGGGTTGTCTGTAGAACGAAATTTGAGCTTAATAACAAGTTTTTGATTTCCAGAAATCCGTGCACACCCTTCCGAAATTTGTCATTGGATCTCTCACCTGGATCGTCTTCATCCTCGTGCTCATCTGCTTCTTCCCACTTGCATTTGTTCCATTCTGTCTTGATAGCTGTAAAGACGTCCATCACTATTGCCCACGCTGCAATGCACTTCTTGGTATCAAGAAGCGTATTTTCTAAAATTTTTCTGAAGCTATCGTCGTTCATTTCCATCCATCAATTGTTTCTAAAACATGACCCGTTCTCCTTCTCATCATTATGCCAAATAGTCACTGGTAATTCCCAAACAATAAGTGTACATGCTAATTTTTGTCAAAAAATATATAGAAAAATTTTAAAATCGACAAAACCGTATTGCAAAACAAAACTCGAAGTATCGAGTTGAAAACTTTTTTACTAATAATCAACTCAATTTTTATTAAAACTTGTAACATTTGGAGTAATCGGGATAGTAACAAAACTTGTAATCGAAATCTCTAGGCAATAGATTTTTCCCTATTTTTCAAAAAAATCCTCTCCCTCTCTCTCTCTCCTTTTCCCATGTGATGCTTCTATTTTTTCGAAATCACTTTTTTCTGCTGGTTTTAATTCTCTTTTCTTCTCCTTTTCAAGTTTTACTAAACCTGTCATATTTACTTTTTTTCGGTTATTGTACTTTTTTCTAATGAGAATCAAATAAATTTATGTATTCATTGAGAAAAATGGTAGCTATTCGATTATGGATAATAAATAACTGGGAATTGTGAGAAAGTATGAGAACTGTATCAAAACTGAGAAATTTTTAAAAGCACAAAGACACGTAAAACTGTAGGTTGGGGTCGGAACTGAGTAGGGGGTAATGGATCATAGAATTGTCAAAATTTTAAGAAGAATTGTACTATTAAAGGAAGGCGAAACAGGATTCGATGAGAGCTTGGATCTGTGGGCAGGATGCTTCTGGGAAGTATCGTTTAGCGAATTCACAGTTCTTTTGAATCCATTCAGATGGGTCTGTGATGTTGAACACTCTTGTGAACTTGTTGATAGCAGCACACTGAAATTTTTAAGTTAAAAACTTGTTGTACACTACCGGTCTATATGACATACAAAAACGTTTTTTGTATCGATTTTTGGTATTCTCAGGATTCGGCTGTCCAGTTTCCAATCAGCTTGAAAACTTTGAAGGTTGTAAAACAGACCTATGTAGATTGAAAACTCTTCATTCAGATAATTTTTTGTAAATTCCTAATTTTTCAGCTAATTTCCAAGTTTTGAAGTACACTTGCTTTTCCACACGTTTTCAGTAAAAAAAAGTAAAAAAGGTGTATTTCAGAGAACGGCAAGTAGCTGAAAAACTAGGTATTTTCAAAAAATTTTATAACAGCCAAGGTTTTAATCTAGTTCTGTTATATACTGTCCAAAGTTTTCAAAATGATCCGACACTTGACAGCCGAGTTCCAGACTAATGAAAATACTCAAAATCAACTTATTTTCGAGAATCATTCACCTGAGCTGGTCTCAATCTATATTTGAATTTGGAAGCTTCGGTAGTTGTGGAAATTGAAGCGAAATCAATCTCAGCTTGTTTCTCGGCAATCAACTTTAGTCGAGCTTCCTCCTGAAGCCGTTCCTGTTCTAGAAGAACTCTTTGTCGCTCCTCGGCCTCCTTCAACTCTTCCAATTGCTCCATCATTTTTTGTTTTCTCTCCAACATCTCAGCTCTTGCCTTTTCCTCCTGTAATTGTTCGTTGATAGCGGTCTCCTTCAACTGTTGCTCTTGTTTCTCCAATTCCATTCGATATCTTTGTTCTCTGATTTCCTTCTCAATCTCTGTCTGACTGCTCAAATTTGGTTGAGCTTTACGGATTTCGCTTCCAAGATCTGTGGAATCGGGTGCTGTCACAAACGAAGGTTCAGTGGTGGCGATGCTAAAATATGTATAATTTTAATTGTTTTAAAAAGTAGCAGTGACTTACGTCGGTGCAGTTGATCCTTTTGTAAACGATCCGATTAATCCACTAATAAGTGAGGAAAGAGCATCAGTCTTGGAAATATCAGTTGGCTTTGGTTGAGCAATTTTAGTGCTGTTGATTTTGTTAAGAAGCTCCATAGTGTCAATTGTGGTCTCTGAAAAGTCTAGTAGCTTTTTTTCCGAAACCGATTTTTAGTTTTTACCATCAATAGAAGCTCCAGTGACGAATGCAGAACCAGTAGGCTCTTCAGTGGTGGAGACTGCGATCGTGGTTGTTTCTGGAGTAGTACTCTCTACGGTAGTCGTAGCTGGTTCAGTTGTAGTCATTGTTGGTTCAGTAGTTGTAGTAGTGGTTTTAGTAGCTTCAGGAGTCTTCGTTGTAGTTTTGTGCTTTTTCGGCACAAAATCACGATGAGAGCCTAGCTTCTCTGAAGCTTCAGTTTCTTCAGGTGTTGTTCCGGAAGCCGTGGTAGTAGATTCTTCAGTTACAAATGCGGCAACCTCGGATGTGGTGGATCCAGTTGTAGATTCAGACGTAGTTGTAGTGGTTGGCTCCGTTGTGATAATGGTGGCAGATTCAGTTGTAGTCGATTCAATACTTGTTGTTTCCTCCGGTGTGGTCGTAGTTTCGGTAGATTCTGTTGTTGTCACCGCCTCCGTAGTAGTGGTTGATGCTTCAGTAGTGGTGGTTTCAGTGGTGGTGGTTGGCTCCGTTGTCGTAGATGCTTCGGTTGTAGTAACCTCTGGAACCTTCTCTGTCGTGGCTTCATCAACATTTTCCGCAATCACAGTGCTGGTTTCCTCTGCTACAGTAGTAGATGTGCTCTCTTTCTCTTTCAACAGACGTTTTTGCTCCTTTAGAACCTCCAATTTGTGTTTCAGCTTGTTCACAATTGCCTTCCATCTCTCAGGAAGTTGGCGTTGAGTGGATGTTTCCAGAATAACGGAGACGGTGGTGGAAGCTTCGGTAGTAGTAACTGGTTCCGTTGTGTTTTCGGTAGTTGTGGTTGGAAGGGTAGACGTCTCAGTAGCGATTTCAGCGGACACAGTAGTCACCTCAGGAGTTGTTGATTGAGAAGTGGTAGTAGCTTCTTCTGAAGATGTGGAAACTGCTTTAGTTGGCTCCTCTGAAGTTTTAGTTTCCTCAACTGTGGATGGAGTCGCTGTAGTAGTAGTGGTAGTTTTCGCAACAGTCGTACTTAGTTCCTCGGTAGTTGTGGATGCTTCAGTAGTCGTAGTTGTCGTAACTGCTTCAGCAGTGGTTTTTGGCTCTTCTGATGTAGTTGTTGTTTCCTCAGTGGTAGAGGCGGAAGTCTTTGGAGCCTCTGTCGTTGTGATCTGTTCGGTGGTCGTTGGCTCAGAAGTTGTCGTTGATGCCTCCGTAGTTTTTGACTCTTCTGTGGTGGTTACAGTCGTTGGTTTTTCTGTTATAGACTCCTCTGTTACAGCTTCAGTTGTGGTTGTTGAAGTCTTTGTTGTCTTCTTTGGTGTGACTAAAACTTCACATTTATTTATAGCAGCGCGTTCCTTTACAAACTATACCTGTTGTTGGATTCTTGGTAATCTCGGTTGGGCTATCAATCGAAAGTTCAAGTTTTGGAGTAACCTTCACTTTAGATTCTTTGATTGGCTTGGTCACCTTGACTTCTTGTGTTGTGGTCTCTTCTGGAGTAGTTTGCTTCTCTTCAGTGGAAACTTTCAGCTTTATGGTGCTATGGAAGACTTCAGTTTCTTGCGTAGTTGATACTACTGAAATTTTTGTTTTTTTTTCTATATCTTATCTGTTTATCAATTTACCAGTTGTGGTGGTCTCCTCTTCTTTTTTGACCTCGATTCTGGTCACAATCTTGGCGGTGGAGGTCTCCGAAACCGGTTCTGAAAGTTTCTTTTATTTACCTGTTCAACTACCTGGTCATTTTCTATCTCTTATCTCCTAATCAATCACCGTGAAATAAATTAGATCTTATACTGCTTGTTGGTGGCGGTTCTTCTTTGAGCTATTTTAATTATAAGATCCACCAGCTTACCTTTGGTATCATCTTCAGACTTAGCCACAAATGGCGCTTCAGTGTTTTCCCCAAAGTTTGGTGTGGTTCCGGTGCTGGGGAAGTGGGTGGTGTCTGGTTTCCCAGTGGCTGGACCAGAAATTTTGTTATCAACTTCTGGAGTGGTGGCCTGCTTAGTTGTAGTGACATCTTCAGTGGTCATGGTTGGTTCTTCAGTAGTTGAAGTTGTCGTGGACTCTTCTGTGGTGGTTGTGGACTTTTCAGTAGTTGTCGTAGTTTCTTCCGTTGTGGCTGTTGGCTCCTCCGATGTCGTTGTTGTTTCCTCAGTAGTAGTAGTGGTTGGTTTTTCGGTGGTTGTTGTTGCTGATTCCTCTATAGTCGAGGTTGTAGCAGGTTCGGTTGTCGTAGATGTCTCCGTAGTTGGCTCTTTGGTGGTTTCTGAAAATTCCGTGGACGTCACAGTAGTTCCGTCTTCGGATGCCAAAGTGGAGACAGGTTCCGTTGAAGCCTCGGTGGATGAAGTTATGGCTGTAAATTTCTCGGAAGTTTCAGTATTTGACACCGGAGTCGAAGTTGTGGTTTCCTCAACTGACGTGGTTTCCTCCGTTGGTGTAGTTATGGTTTCCACAGCAGAAGTAGTAGTTGCATCAGTGGAAACCGCAGCAGATGATGTCGTTGGTGGCTCTGTGGTAGTGGTGGTGGTGGTGGCTTCCGTCGATGACTCCTTATGAATCACAACAGATCCAGTAACCACTTGAACTGGTGCCTGCGTGCTTGTGGTGGTTTCTACTGTAGTCTCAGAAGCAGCAGGCGCAGTAGAAGTTGTAGATGCTTCTGTAATAGTTGTAGCAGCCTCGGTAGTAGTTGTAGAAGCTTCTGTGGTAGTTGGAGCTCCGGTAGATGAAGTTGTGCTCTCCTTCTTCTCCACCTCTATGCTTGAGTCAATGCTATGATCGGATTTAACTGTTTGTCCTCCAACGGTAGCTTCGATTTCTTGAAACAATGAAGATCCAGTTGGGTTTGGGTCCACACTTGGTCCAATATCCACGTTATCATTGTTGATCGACGATAGAGTAGTGGTCACATCAAATGGGTTCACAGAAACATCGGGGACGCATTTGCATGAGCAGGTACACGTATTCTTTTTGATGTGTTTCACAATTTTAAAATCTGAAATTCAGCCCTAGAACTTCTACACTTCGCTCAGTATTTTTACCTCTAGATCCATCAGAGTTAATAGTTTTACTCAGCATGCTGCTTGCTTCCAACTGAGCACCCAGTAACAATATTGCCAACGGGGCCACCCACGCATACCTCATCTGAATAAAAAATTGATACAGGGAAATTCAAAATAGTTAAACAAGGAACAGAAAAATGAAGGAGAGGAAACCAAGGACTAAACAAGATGGCAAACAACAAAAGTGCGATAAGATCGGACAATCTAAGGACTAGTAAGCGAATTTGAAAAAGTTTCAAGGTAACTAGTGAAGGAGGGATACAGGTGTAAGAAGACACACAGTTTCAAAATAATAGTAGACAGACTTCCTGCTGATAAATGACAAACCGTCTTTGAAATCCTCTTCATCTCATCTCTCTCGACCTACAGGTAAAATGATAAAAGTAAAAGAAATGAGAGGAAGCGTCGGGACGATTTGTCTTCTATCCACTTCTAAGTAGGTCAGTGCCATTGGAATGCTCTCTCCTCCCCAATCAGAGTGTGATTTGGGAAAAAACGAAAAAAACGGATAAGAAGAAAAAGAAGAAGGCGCGGTAAAAAACGGTAAGGGGGTAATGATAAAACAGTATTGGAGAAATGATGCGCGATTTCGGAGACTGGTACTTAGGTTGTACGGAATTTAGTGATGACCTGAATTCAACTAATTTGGATTTAGTATTGGAGTAAAAATTACTGCGGTTACTGTTAAGAAATTGAATTTTTGTTGTACTTTCACAATTATCTGATTTAAAAAAATGTTTGGACGCTGTTGAACTGGATTTTCCGATTCTTCAGAATTGATAGTATTTCCGATTCTACAGAATTGAAAGCCAATTTTTCAATTTTCTAATGTATCCAACTGGTGGAAAAATTGGAAATTTTGAAAAAGGAATTGTTTGAGAAAATGTATGTAATATGAATTTTCATTGAAATTGAAATTACCTCGGCTATAACTGTCGTGCGGATTCAAAAGTTTTCAGAAGTGTCAAGATAGGCAATTCTCAACTTATCCTGTAATTTTTATTGGTTTGACAAGGTGTTGCGGTTCCTTTGTAAATAAATAATATTTTCTCAACTTGCTGAGAAACTTTTTTTCCTAAAAATTTTGATTTTAAAAAATTTAGCTTGGAATCAAGTAAGACATTGTTTCATTTAACTAATAAATTTAAAATTAGGGACACCACTTTGCTCGATGTCTTTTTGCGTTTAAGACATAAATTTACCATAAAACCTGAATTATCCTCAGCAGCTGTCAAAGATAAAAAAGTTGTATCTAATAAATTGTTCATCATAATATCATAAACATTTCATTAATTAACATATTTTTGATATCTTTTACAGGAATTAAGATAACTGAGCTCAAAATTGATTGTTCGGGTGGGATTCTATTAGGAAATACGGTAATGGCGCTCCTGATAGTTTTTCGAACAACTTTAAAGACACGAATCTAAAATCTCAGAGAAAGGAAAACAAATCCAAGAAGTGCATTGGTGTTCATCCGGACTACAGTTTTGGCGGTAGAAGTGTGCGATGACCACAAACACAATTTCATCTCGAATGAGAAAAGACGCAATTCATCATCGGCCTGCTTTTTTTCCCGTTCCTTCGAAACCGTCAAAACCGACCTTGATCCAAACAGTCTCTATTTTTTGTTCCAAAATTCATTCATCCAATGTCGATAACGTTCACCACCACCGACGACCTCGTTTCTTATCCCATTTGGAAGAGGGCAATGTCGTCTCTCCATAACTTTTTTGCCCTTCCAGCTGCCAATTATTTATCTCGCTCCAAAACCGTCGCAATGTACTTTTTTTCGCCTACATCCCCGACAAAGAATGTCGAGAATTGAATAGTAGGCTGGTTGAAATAAATCCGATGTAATCCCATGTGCAACGTGTACTAAAAAGTAAAGGGACAGACAGTTTTTGGATTCGTAACTGTTTTATTTCATGGGTAAACATTCGAAAAAACAGAAAACTGCTTTTATTAGTCAGATAGACACTGCTGAAAATCAGAACAGCATGAAATATGTATATTTATCACTGTTAATTATTTTTCTTGGCGTATGTTTAGCTTTTACCACAGGTGAGTTGTTCGATTTCTATGTTTGTGTTATTAATCCTGACCCAGAATTTGAAGACTCCCAATATTATGAAGTGGACGATCACCACGATGAAAGTATACATGACGTGCAAGAAGATGAAAATTCTGATGTCGAAAACAAGTACATTGAAGCGATGACCCAAAAATTGTCATCAATGAGTAAGTCTCGAGACACGCAAGTAGTAACAAATTGTGTTGATAACATTTTAGCTACGGACGATGTGAAAAACCACATCAAGGACATTGTTCGCGGGTTTTCTGATAAGGGATTCGAGGTATGTAACTATTTTTTGCAATCCATCTGACCTTTTATACTGATAGGACTGTGACACTATCCAAGATGGTTTTCTGGATGCAACCGAAGTGGAATGTTTCATTTCTGAAAAAATGGGATTTGACATGAAAAAACCTGGAGAACAAATTGTGGCCCATTATGATAAGGATATGAATGACAAACTAGATAAAGATGGTACGAGATACAGTATCGGTTATTAAAATGTACAAAAACGTATTTTTGAGTTCATTTTGGCATTTTCAGGAGTCGGAGCTTGGCTTTCAAGTGTATCTTCACTTTGAAACCTTTGATGGGTTCTAGAATGAGAACATCACACTCATGTCAGAGAATTTTTTGAAAGTTCCTAGTTTTTCAGTTATTTGCCTTTTATGAAGGACACCTATTTTGTATTGTATAACATTTTTAGTACAAAAACCAGAAAAAGGGGTGTCCTTCATATACCGTAAAAACTGTAATATAACGCCACCTGTAATAGAAGATTCTCTCTAATATATCGCCATTCTCAAGAGGTGACTGGAGGTAGAAGAGCAAAGTTTTAATGTTTGATTAACAAAGTAGCAGTGGAATCTAGAAACTTCGCACCATTTCGTTTATTTTGGTACACTGTTAATCAATTAAAAAACTAAATTTTGTCACCTCGCATCATCCGAAACCACCCTTCCGAAAAACACAACGCCACGGCGCTATATTACAGGTTTTACGGAATGTGAAAATATATTAGCTGAAAAACTCGGAATTTTCAAAAAATTCTGTGAATACAAAGTTTTCAATCTAGGTTTGTTTTACACCCTCTCAAAATTTCAAATTGATCGGAAACATGACAACCGAGCTTCGAACCCCTAAAATGGTCCAAGACAACTGAAAAGAAAGTTTTTGTATATGTTCTTGACCGGTACAGTATATTTGCAAAATTTCAGAAGTCTGGAACATTGTTGAAAACAAAAACGACGACCTATATGAAGTGAAACCATCTACAGTTGAGATGAATATGAAGTTGTTACAAGGGCTCCAGGGAGCCGACGACGAGGCTCCAGCTCTTCCAGGTCAAGGGATTTTCTTCTAGTTTTTGGGATTATCGGGTGAAACCTTAGATATTTTTTTTCGTATATCGTACCTTTTTTATAATGCTTTTTTCTTCAAATTAAAGTTAATATAAGTTTTTGTTTAAAATAAGAGTGTTAAAGGCAGCAAAAGCATTTAAACAAACATGAAAAATTCAACAATTTGGCAACAAGTGACTAGAAGAGCTCTTTGAGTGGGAGGGAAATGTGGAACCGGAGAAGAAGATGAACACTGACAAATGGAAATATAAATAATAAAGACTTTTTAACAAAAGAACTAACATGACTACAGAGTGAAAAAAAACAGAATATGAACAGAAAAAAAAATCTACAGTGTAACGTTAGCAAAATCAACAACAGCTTGCATCATATCTACACGATCTTCACTGTTTGGCATATTGAAAAGACCATGGAATGCACGGGGGAAATGCTGCCAAATTGTGCGAACGCCTGATTGTTTAAGTTTATTGGCATACTGGACTCCTTCGTCTCTGAAATTGTGAAATTTTAAAAGTAGTCTTCAAAAAGGTTGACTCACTGAAGAATGTCGTAACCAGCAGTTAATACCAATGCTGGCGGAAGACCTTTCGTATCTCCGAACATTGGAGACACATCTGGATTTGTTCCAAGTTTGAAGAACTGCTCTGCCAACTCTCGGTCCACTGGTTTATCCCGTTTTCTTTCATTTAAGTGGTACAACCACTCGGAGTACTGCTTTTGCTCGGAAAGCTCACTAAAAAATATTATTGAATTTTTATTCGAAAATTCTTGTTTCTTACGGTAGCACATGCTGTGAATTCATAACCTTCTTAATGTTACTTTTAGTTGCATCCATTCCCAAATACAAAAGCATCCACCTTGCCATATGTTTTGGGTTCAAGAGAGCTGTTCCCGCATAGGACTTCCAATAATCCTGGTATGACGGACATGTGAAATTGAAAACATGTGTGACCGGATAGATCAGTATCTGACCCCTAAGAACGTCCCGGTTTTCTCGATGTAATCGTTGACACACAACTGCCGCCAGGTTTCCGCCAGCACTATCTCCAGAAATCAAAACTTTCTTTTTGTTGAACGGGAGGTCCGGCAATCTAAATAGATGAAATTATAATTCTTTAGATAATTGAATGGTGAGATACCCATTTTCACAGAGTTCCGATACAACTGCATAACAATCGTTGAGTCCAGCAGGGAATGGGTGTTCTGGAGCAAGACGATAGTCAATGGAGACTCCGTGGCAACCGATTCTGCGGCAAAGTTGATACATTATTCCGTCATAGTATCCTGTAAAGCTGTCATTGTGGTCAGCAGTTTTTTAATTCATGTAGAGTTCAAATCGCCTGAATTTTCAAAGATCTTATTTTATAAAATACGTTTATTTGCTGAATTTTTCTAATATATCGTCTAAATTACATTCTAAATTGTCTATTTCTGTGAAACCTGTATTATAAAGGCAGACCATTATACATTTCCGCTGGACCCCGTACTTCCAAAGAGCGCTTCTAGTACAAGGGTTTTCCGATCGGGAGGAGTTTTTTCAATTTTCCCGTTGCCCTAAAGTTTTTATTGAAATTTCGGCAGAATATAATTCCCGGAATAATATTCACTGCGAATCAACGAAAATTCTTGATTTCAAACAACGAATTTCAAAGGGAGCTCTTCTATTCTTTGAACCTCTCTTGGAATGTCCTTCTATTAGAGGGTCCAGTAGTACTCACTTGCTTCACCAACACACCATCCACCTCCATGAATGAAAATGAGAAGACCATCGTTTTTCGATTCCTCGACTTTGTAAGTAATGCAACTAACTCCTTGGATTCTGGTTCGTTTTTTCTGAAAAAAAATTTTTGAGAGATTATTATTCTTCACTATATCCTCACGGTCACCCCTTTTGGCGGTCCCATCGGCACTAGGAACCCAACCCCCATGATGAATCGTGTAACTTTATTCCTAACCTCCGGTCCAAACACATTTTCGACCAAGTCACCCTGGAAAAATCAGAAAAACCAAATCAAACATCAAATTTGATTCTCGAAAGACTGATGAATTGAATTAAAATGTCACAGGAACACTTACCAAGTACTCATTCGACAATCTCAATAAAAACTCGGCAACCACTAATTTCGACCGGTCGGAGATGTCGAGTGGCAATGGGATGTGTAGAAGGTAGAACGAGTAGGCGAAGAATAATATAACTAAGAGCCAGTACAACCAGGATAGCCACTCCATGGTAAGACACCAGAAAAAAAGATGGAGTTGTGTGTATGTGAATGTGTTATCAGGAACAATACAAGGGTAAATATGTAGAGTGATAATAAGTAATGGGGTCTTAAAGGGTTGATAGCACAATATAACGACTTTTTATGACTTGTTTATGTACAATTATGGAATGACTTGTTCAAAATGTCGTTGGCTACATTTTAGACAAGTGGTTTTCACAAAAAAGTTTGTTGTGGAACATCTCAAGAAGTTACAATCGAATTTTTCAAAATTTGAGAAAATTTGAAAACTTTGCATTCACAGATTTTTATGAAAACTCCTAGTTTTCCAGGTATTTGCCTATTTTTGGCCCATTTTTGTAATGAAAACGTGAAAAAATTGGGTGACTTCAGAAATCGGCTAATAGCTGTAAAATTAGGAGTTGTTCAAAAATTCTGTAAAAGGAAAGTTTTTAACCTAGATCTCATTGATCGTATTATAGAATACTTAGGTCCACAACAAAAGTTTACCACAGTATCTTTATAAGGTTTTTAGTGGAGCAAAATTAAGAGAAATCTAGGTTTGTTCAGAAAGAATTGTATTTGTTTTTTTTTGCTGAAAAAGATAACTCTGAATCTTCAGATTGTTTCTTGAAATATTAAAAAAAAAAACCTAGTTCATCACCTGCAATAAGAAGAAAAATGAAGAAATGTGGGATTGTAGGGAATGGGAACACAAACGATTACATCTTCCATGACATCTACGAACTGCATCGGTTTTATCCGATCGGTTTCATAGTTTCATACGTATTCTATGCAAATATATTTACAAGCCAGAGAGACAAGGACAGAGTGACACCTCTTTTTTCCCTACTTCAATACACAACACTTTTGCTTTCGACAATGAGGGATGACAGAACGACGAACGCTGTCACATCTTCCTCTTCTCACCAAAATGTTGCTTTCGAAATAGTTGACCTACTTTGCACCTCACAGAGAAATGAAGGTGATTTTAAATCCGAAGTTTAGTTCAAATAGAACAAAAGTAGAGATGAAAATTGTTTGAATGGGTGAGAGAGGCAAAGAAATAACACGAAATGGAAAGGTGACAAAAAGATTGGGGGCAAAGTGGCTAAATCATTTGGAAGAAGAGGTGTGGAAAAGATCACCGTGTCAGTCATCTTGGTTATCTTTCAAAATGAGTGTATATGACATTTGGAATGTGATGCACTTTAGGAATTTTTTTCGGCTTAGCTGGTAATATATTAAAATTGAGAAGATCACCTGTTGGGGAAAACTTGACAATAATCCGAGAAACAGCATTCTTCCCAAGAAACAATGAAAAAAGATTAATGAGATAACACGACGTTCCACTAATGGGCAGCAGACTACAGATTGAAACGTTTTCAAACTTGATCGAGATTTAGGATGTGACGAACATTCAGAAACTAATTTAACAAAACAGTCTGAGTAATATTCGTCAAAGTTTTTATTTTCAAATTACCATTTCTAGTGACGACATAGAAAAAAGGTCACATTAGTAAACGGGAAAAATACTAGCAGCTTTCTGTATAGCTGCTTCCATATATATGTTTTAACAAAAGTCTAAAAAAAAAACAAAATGAGAAAAATGGTCTAAAACTTTTGAAATGAATGAAATTGAAATATCGTAAGGTGCAAATGGGATTGAGTGTTCTCAAAAAGTCGGTGGGAGGTGGAAGCTTCATCCACCGCTGTTGGAGGGAATCCGGTTGTTAATTCTTTTTTCCACATCTCCCTTCTTCTTGCGTCACTTCTGCCACACCATCCCAGCGTGTGTTGGTGTTACGCGTACGCAAAAATTTTTTGTTGCTTCATCTGTTTCGTTTTGATTTGCAGACACAGCAAGACGAAGCCGTTTCGTCGGTAGGTATTCATCGGATAACACATGTGGGTAACGAGGAGACTTTACACTAAATTCGTTTCACTTGTTTTTTTAGTTTATGACATAAAAATTGAGAAAAAAATTTGAAGGACCTAGTTCCATATATTTCTAGCGGTCCCTTAAAAATTTGTAAAGTAAAAAACATGCTTTCTTATCAATCGGAAATAAAACTGTACGCCGGAATAAATTACGCATTTTGATTCTAGAAGTCTGTTGACAGAGAGCTAAAACTTTTTATCTTATTAAAATGTGTAAAAAATATGTAGGTTTACATAGCGACAGAGAGAGAGAGAGAGAGAGAGAGAGAGAGAGAGAGAGAGAAAGAGAGAGAGAGAGAGAGAGAGAGAGAGAGAGAATTTTCGCATTTGAAAAACTTCGAAAAATCTTTCAAAATGCGAAACAATTGAATTCTCACAGTTTGGAAACTTGATCTGGATCTATTATTTAAACAATTATTGAAACGGAAAACAAAAGTTCTAAATATTTCATTTCCTACACTATTCTAGAGGAAAATTGTGAACCTTCTAGACAGTGCTGGTCGAGATCAGAACAGTATTCGCTATTTGAAACGATTGTTCTCCGCAAAAAGATAACTTTATTCCGCCAAGAAAAATATAAAGCAAGAAAATTGCAGCTGCTCCATGAGCGCTCAAAACTCGTTAGCAGCATTTTCTCGTCGTCGAATTCTCTCTTGGGTGATATGATGCGTAACTGCCATGTAGAGTAGCTCGAGAACTAGACAGACAAACTCGCAACATGTCATAACAGAAACTCCAGACCACAATCCAAGATGTCCTCCGAAATCAGCCATCATTTTGACAATCTGGAGTAGAGTGTTTAGAATATGTTTTCAGAAAATTTAGAGGCAATGAATGATGTGAAAGCCTGCATAGATTTCTTAAACCTTTTAACCAGACCATCTTATCATTACATTCAAAATAAATATGATGAATGGCAACTCACACCGTAAGCTTCTGACTCAGCCAAAACTTCAAAGTTTAGTGCTTCGTAGAAAACTTCCAACATTGCAGCATTTTCTCTGAAATATACTCTATTTCTAGAATTTAGACGTCTAGATATCCCTACTTATATTCTTCATTGCACTCTTCCGCTTCTTTTTCACAGTGTCCAAGGGAAATATTCAGAGCTTGAGATGGCCAAATTGCTTCAGAATATGATGTGGTGTAGATTGTTTGGTTACAAGGCTGTTGGCATCTGAAAAACGATTAATTGTAATTTTGACTGTTAATCATCTACATACTGTAAAGTCTATGTATAATAGATGGACCCCTAACTTTCAGCTTTAAGCCAATTTATCTCGTTTCCCTTACAAAACATGAAAATGTTGTAAACAACGGAATCGTTCATCGTTATGTCAGAAGTATTTTGTCAGTTGACACATTTTCGATATCTGCTATAGGAATTAAACTAATTGAGCTTAAAGTGGACCGTATGAGGGTTCTTGTATTACAGGTCTCCCGGTAGGTATGCATTCCTGTTCTACAAAAAAAACTTTAGTTCACAATTCAGAATCTATATGTTACATCAATTCTCACCGACACTTGAATGAACCATGAATCTCTCCGATTTGATGAGTGTGCTTCTCCAGACATTCTCGATGATTCTTGTTGAACACTTGACACGGTTGAACACCCCCAATCGACGGAAACCGTGGATCACTGCATCCGCATCGGTCAATAATCAGCTCTTGAAAACATGTGCGATAGCAACCCTATAATCATCGGTATACTATCACATCATGAAAATGCGCGAATGAATTTCCAAGCATCACTTTTGTCTAGTTTGATTGTTTGTACTATAAACTTGAATCTAATACTACATTCGAACTCAAATAATGCTCAACTTGCCCACTCACTTCTGTGGAATATGCATAACCTTTGTAGATGTAGTTTGATGTGGTGCCGTCCTCAACGCAATCTCCATACGGCGCAGGTAATCTGCTCATCTTCTTCTACAAAAAAAATTCGAACATGTTTTGGCATCAAACAAGAAAGTAAGCTACCATTCTCATACCAAACGAGGAGATATAACCGGTCGGTGCCGAGTAGCCAAAAGTGTCCGGGAATGGAAAATCGTCTTTGTCATGGATGGTCAGTCGGATGCCGACGGCTTCTGATGTTGGTAGGTAGTCACTGGCATTCACAAACAACATTACGCGGAGGCCTAAATCATGCATAACCTATTCATAAATGGGTACAAGGAATATATCGAATTACCGTATTGAGGACCAGCTCTCACACTTGACTTGAAGATTTCTCTGTCATGATTGAACACAAAGCAGTTGCCGAACGTAGGATCAGCAACAAGTTCAAAATCTCTGAAAGTTTCGAATTGTGTGAAAGCCAAGTTCCAAGTACCAACTTATCAATATCACATGGTTTTCCATTGAACGAGCATTTATGAATCAAATTGTGTTTTGCTTGAGACATCAGAATTCTGAATAGTTAAAAATTTTTCAAGTATTTAGCGAACCTCGTTTATTTCAAAAAACTTCCCTGACTTTAACAAAAGAAAAAAATGCAAAAGATAGGATGAGTAATTAAACCATCAATCAGGTGCAGGGGAGTCAAGGGGCCGAACAGCATGGAACCGGGCACCTTCACTCACTACCGCGGCGGGAGTCGTTCTCGAGACCGCCTGTTTGGTAGATGGGGTGGCTATCCACTCAACCAACCCTGCACATCTGCCTGGGTATTTTGGGAAAAATATATAAACGTTTCGGTCGTTGAGAGGGCGGTGGGTTTTTAATTGGCTCCTGGGAAATCATGTAAGTAATAGAGGGCCTATTGCATATAGAATGACCGGGCCTTCCTTATTTGTAAGACTGTGAGGTACTCCTCTGTCTCAGTGTTTTCTTCGAACTTGGACAAGAATAACTGGATTATGCAAAGGCAATAATAGGATTGGTTGTATTTTTGATGTTTCCAATAAAACTCGAATAATCAGTAACAGAAAAATAATAATAATATTTTAAAGATTTAAATAATGATCTACTATTCGGGATCGTTGAATTTTTTTCAAACTCTCAACATTTCTCCTCGACACAGGCTTCACTTTCAGAATATGTCTGCGATTTGAACAAAAATTCAATGTTTTGTACCTTTGCTCTTCTGACACGCACTCATTGCGAAAATGATGTTCTCCTTAGCTTTGGTCACAATAGCCACTTCGTCTGTCATGTTCTGAAAAAAATCAAGGTGATTGTACTAGTGAATGAGTTGCAAGAGTGAGTTCCTACAAAGATCCACATTATGATAAGTCATTTCTGAAAATTTCGAAAAACTCGAAATCAAGTAAAAAATCAAGACATGTAACTTCGAGTGTTCTAATAAAAAAATTAAGATTGCGGTCAGTTCCCAAATATCAATAAAAAATTCTAGAAAAAAAGGAGAAAAAAGCAGACTTTAAGTCTTCAACATTAGGCTCAAATTTGTTTCAACATACCAATTTTTCAAGTTTTGAAAACTTTAATGGGTGACGTAGCATTTTATGGAGCACGATGTATTATGCATTTCAAATTTTTCATTTAGACTATAACTCGATCAGATTTCTCTGTCGAGATTCAAACTTACTCCAAATCCCAACGCTTCCCGCTCTTCTGTTGAAATGTCAGAAAACTCCTCTGTATCTCCAAAATACTCCCACAAATTCAAAACTAGGGCTGCCTAAAATTAATTTCTAAAAAATATTCTTTGATTGACAACTCACATGCTCATGTTTGATACAAAAAAGTCCCTTGCTCTCACAAATGCACGGCTCCTTCTTTATTTCTGATCTTTTGGTGCCTGGAAAAACGAGTTATTCCGGATTTGTACTTTTCAGCATTCTCTGCTCATTCTTTGTTTTATTGTTGTGTGTGTGTGTGTGTGTGTGTGTGTGTGTGTGTGTGTGTGTGTGTGTGTGTGTGTGTGTGTGTGCGCGCGCGCGCGCGCGCGCGCGAGAATTCGTGTGTTTTTATTCTTACCTTTCTTGGCTTTCTTGCTACATAAATAATGCTCATCACATGCTTGACATGTTGTATTCGTCCATTGCTCCTGGAAAAAATCTGTTGACGATAGGGGTCGCGCATCTTTTGCAAGAAAAAAGTTTCTATTTTCTCATGCAAACAAGTAGGCGGTAGCAACACGAAACAAGAATAACCCTACTCTTCTATGACATGGCCACGCATCGTTGGTCTGACGATCAAATGCACAAATGCACATGTCATTATCGCTGGATGGCTTTTCAGTGGATTTTTCCTCGCATTCATTCGAACCATCCTCTTCATCGCATTCACATGCAGAGTTCGCTGGTTCGAATGTTCCCTTCTCTCCGGCTCCTCGTTTTCTTCGTTTTGCTTGGATAGTTATTCCATCCATATCATATTCAACGCCATCGTCAGACGCTTCAGCACTACTGTCACCAGCTTTTTTCATTACACTTTTGAAGACACCAAGCTAGAAAAAGAACCAAGATGGAAAAAAAAAGGATGAGTAGTACAAAAAATAAGCTTACAATTTTACTAATACTGTCATGGGATCTGATCACACTGTCTTTGTATGGATTCAGGTTGCAAAGAGTTATTGCTGGGAAGGGAGCTGGAATTGTGGCAGTTTGAAAAAAATTTTTTTTTGTAAGTCACCAGTATCGAATTTTAATTGAATATCTGTAATTTTGTCCATCTTTTGATACTTCTGGATTACGGCTACTGCTTGATTGATGAATTGGATTGCACAGATCAAAAGTAGGAACACCCAAACTGCCCTGAAAATAAAAAATTGCAATTACAGTACTAGTCAACATAATATTTAAAAAAAACATAGTTTTCAGTTGCTTTTTGATCATTTTAAGTATTTCCAAGAGTCTGCAGCTCGGCAAAACAGGTATCTTTCAAAAATGGGCAAACAGCTTGAAAACTAAAATTTTTCAATAAGTTCTGTGAATGCAAAATTTTCAATCTAGGACTGATTAACACTCTCCAACATTTTCAAAGTGATCGGAAATTTGACAGCCGAGCTCCAGACTTCTGAAAATTTTTGAAACGGTTGAAAATCACCGAAAAAATATGATTTTGAAAATCTTATTGACTGGTAAATTTTTCGCAAATTTTAAAGGGGTTTTTATTGGATTATAAATAACAAAAAGCAACCCATTTCCAAACACTTACCTGTACAAACTATTTGGGGCTTGTCCGAGCATTGGTATACCGTGACTTGAGGTTTTATAACAAAACTGTTGCAGATGCCATCTTATCCGTTCCCTGAAGCATTTGTTAAAAATCAATTCAAGAATCAAATCTAACCTGTAGGACAATCTAGTTGGGTCTATTTCAATTCCTCCATTTTCAGTCAATAAGTCACATTGGATTTCCTTCTCGTTTGCGTTATTGCTCTCTCCATAAGCATACGAAGTCATAATTTCAGCAACATTCAAAAAGTTAGTATCACTAGCCAGATAGTTGGAAAAATCGGTTTTAAAACTTCGAAGTGATCGTAAATCTGCCTCATCTTGGAATCTGTTTTTGACTTTTGGATTTGGTTGGAACTTGAACATTCGAGGATTAGGAGGTCCTCGATTCATATTGGCTGTATTGGATAAAGGGACAAAAGTTGGGAAAAAAGCAATTGTTCGGGAAATGAGGAGTCGTGGCTGATGAGTAGAAGGAGAAGACACCCAATGCATTTCTAACGAGCTCGATGGTTCCTGATGTGTTGTTTCTTTTCGGGAATGCATGAGTCCCTGTTAATGTTTTGTATGATCATTTGCATCATATTCTATGATAACAACTGTTGAATCTCTCGAAACACTTTATTGTGCACCTAAGCCGACGTTGAAAGTCACGCAAAAAGGTAAATTTGCTGATAACGACTACACGTACTGTCAAGAACCATCACGAAATACCTGATGTTTGCACAATCGGTGATGACAACCACCGTTTTCTTTCAGGAGATGAGGACAAAAATGGAGCGTGATAATCATGTGGAGCTGATGTATGTCAGTTGGAACAGAGCGAAATTGTTTATTTGGGTTTTTTATTGACAGTGATGTTACCAGGATGGCACAATTCTGCAAAAAATTAATTTATGAAGTTTAAGAAATTTTCAGTTTCTCATCGATTTCCCGAAATGCTCGAATTGGTCTTCTTGGAATTTTTCGAAATGCCAAAGTTCCGAGTTTTAAAATTTTGGAATTTTGGAATTCTGGATTTTCGCAATGTCAAAAATTTCAAAATTTCGGAATTTCGGAACAACGCAATTTTGAGAATTTCGGAATTTTGGAATTTTACGATTTCGGTAATTTCTGAAATTTTGGAATTTCCGAATTTCAAAATTTTAAAAATTTCAGAAGTTACAATTTCACAATCAATTTCAGAATTTTGGAAATTTACAATATCGGAAATTTCGAAATTTTGGAATTTTACCATTTTGAAAATTTCGGAATTTCGGAATATGGAAATTTTGGAATTTTGGAATTTTACAATTTAGAAAATTTCAGAAGTTGGAATTTCCCAATTTCGAAAAAGTAGTAATTTCGGGATTTCCCAAGTTCCCAATTTCGAAAATTTTGTGATTTCGACAAATTTTTTCGCGGGCGTTTTTGATATACCGTAGTCAAAGTAGCTCAGATTCAAGAAAAAAGCTTTGGAAATATTCCTGTAGAAATTTACGGAATTAGGAATTCTGTTAAAAACCCATTTGAATAATTTCGAAGAATTAAAACATTGCAATAATGCAAAAGTTCATCAAGGTCCCTGCTCATTGGTTTTAAAAATATGTTAAAAGTGTCATTTCCGTAGCACAGGTGATTTTTATGTCCTTGTATTAATGTTCTCATCATTCAAAAACTTTGAACCTTTATGATTTAAATAAACGTGTATGTCTGATATCATTTAATATGCAGAGAAGCTGAAAAATTTTTTCCAGTTCCGCTTAGTTAATTATTTTTCAGTTTTTTTCTAAAAAATTCAGCACATTTGCTATGCTTTCTAAATTGAAAATGAGATCTCTGACATCATTTAACGGTTTCTGATATTCCAAAGTTCCAAGTCCACTTCTCTTATCAATCACTTTAGCTTGTCTAACACCACAGCTCTGTTTTTCCACCTCTAGACGAAAAAAAATTTCCACAGATTTCCACTTATCATCTCTGGTTTTTTGTCGTTGAAATGCATCGACGTGACCGTCTTATCAGAATTACCAAAGCCGCAAGAGCATCGGACGTGCATGCCGGGCACAATTTGTAAGCTTCGGACACAGTTGAGCGTCATCGATGACAAAGGTTGTGAGATCGACGAACATATGTGACAAACGTCATGCTTGGAAACTTTCTTCTCATCGAAACCATCCAATTTCCGGTTCAGATTGATCTCTTCTTGACTAATTTGTAAATCAATTCAAGTTTTGGAAGTCTCAAATTCCAAGATCTAAAGGAGATTTGGTTCAAAAACTAATGACATGAAAGTTGAAACAAAATAAATAATGCTACGCAGTTTTGACTAAAGCCCAATGACAGAATTACTTGTCATTCTCAAAGAAAACACAAAAATATTTTTTGTAGATTCACTCAATTTCCACATAACACGAATGTGATGAAATACCGCACCATCACTTCACTAATCACATAATCGAGTATTGAAATTCCTGTACGTGAGCACGTTATCAGTGCGAAACCATCGATTATCAACCACAACCTTTCATTTCTGAACTTTTCCCCTTCTCTCTGATTCAGCACACAATCAATAGTTGTAGATTTAATCTCTTTATGACGATTTATATAAATTTATGAACACAGTTGAGTTTCAGAGGAAACGAAGAAATCAATGGAATATGTTATGAGCACAAAATGAATGGATGTTTTTTCAAAAAAATACAGTAATCTGGCAAATGGAAGAGTAGGGGAAAAAGAGTGCACATGAGAACAGTGAAAAGAAATCACACGTTTAAGTATTGGAATTTGTTTTTTCTGCAAAAGGATAGGTAAAGTTTAATTGGATTTGACGATTTTTTGACTAGAATCGAGGGGGGTTGGGTTTTGTTTTTTTGCTGAATGAAGGCAAAAGTGTTGGAGATACAAGAAAATGAGTTAAAGGAAGAGGAAATAACAAAACAAAAACATAACTTAGAGTGAATAGTATGTGAAAGAACGTGGATTATGCGTACACATATTAAGGCAAGTCTCTAAATGTCAAGTTATTAAAAGGAAGCAAAAAACAATGCAAAACTATGGCACTTGCTGAAAGAACCGAGGGTAAATTGAGAGAGAGAGTACTGTAGTCAAGTTTAGGAGAGGATCACTTTGACTGGCATTTGCTGAAGATGGTGAGATGCGTATTCCTGAAAGACTAAATTAAGCTAGAAACACTGAATTCTTTGGTGTGGTCCCTTACCGATTGTCCCATGAAGCTCAATGGTGGGGAAGCTGTTTGAGGGATTGGAAGAAGTGGGAAGAGTTGAGGATTGTTGATAATCTGGGATAGGATATCCTTGTTCATCATAATATTGGTTTGTGGCATTGCTGATGGAGATGTTGTGACCACTGGTGGTGGTGGTGTAAGCTTATGCACCATTGGTGCCATCTCAAGGGGCGGAGTCTCACTGAAAATGTTGGGTTACTGTAACTGATTACTTGGTTGGTCACTTACACTTTAGGGCTGCTAGATTCTCTCTTCATAACATCACCAAGACCAAACAGATCGCTGAGTCCTGGGAATTCCATGATCATAGAGCTGACAGAGATCAAGGATGGGACAATCATAAGAAGAGAAGATACACGGAGAGATGCTTCGATCGAGTTTTGTGTATTGCTCATGTAGGCGAAAAGAGCTTTGAGCAGTTGATCACGTGCATCCCGGATCTTATCGCGAGTGGAGCTGGAGATTCCGACCACGTCTGGATTCAACAACAATAGCGCTTTCAGACAACTGAATTCGGCATGATCGGTGCGCAGTCTGCGAAGTGGCGTCAAAAGCTCATCGATGATTCTGGTGAGGGCATCATAGAGCTCTTGTGGATGTTGGCATGTGATGCTTAGGACTTGATCGTTGGGGAGAACAAAGTGTGGAAGAGCCATACTTCTTTGCATGGTTCCCAGAAGAGTGAAGGCAGAGGAGAACTTCTTGAGAAGAAGGAGCTGAAAAGATTGTACAGTTTGACTTGTATCAAATCACAAACTATTATATTTTATTATACTGTGAAGATATTCTAGTTTGGGGTTTTCTCTCTTAATTAGTATCTCTATCTCTCTTTTTCTGATTTTCCCAACCATTTATTTCATGTGATGACAGATGGTGGCGGTTGATGTGATAAAAGAGAAATCTTTAAGAGACAATTTCTCTCTCATCTTTCATTTCTCATCGGGACTGTTTCTTGCATATACAGTCGATCAGTCAGCCACGAGTTCAACAAACAGAGAACACTACCTGTGACGTACATGATCGTCATTTTTTGGAAGGTTCAGATGATAGATGACGGCGGGAAATCTATTTTCATTTCTTCTCCAGGCCTCCTATCTCTCTAGTGATTTCTCTTTTGTACACCACACTCTCGCTCTCTCATCTTCTATCTCTCACCTTATCTGCAAGTGGTACTTCCGGAAGTGGATGCAACATATTGGTCCATCCGATCAGATAGTTTACGGCTCTCTGTCGGCTGCTCTTTGTCTCCGACTCATCTCTGAGAAGCGCATTCATGCTTTGATTGCTCGCCAAACGATGTTCAATGTCGAGAAGCATCTCTATCAGTTTGCGTGACACAGAGTTTCCCATTACTTCCTGAAACATGATGGGGTTAAACGAGCGGCACGCGACTCTTCCAAAACTCACAATTTTTGGGCTCGGCGTGCCTTCAGAGTCTGAATTGTTCTCTGAGTTAGCTCCACTGCGCTTCCTTCTCTTTGTACTTCCAATACGGTCCCGCTCGTTTTGAATGGCTTCTGGCTTCATACCATCAGCAAGACACTTTTGGAACCGACAGTACCGACAAGCATTCCTATGGTCTTTGTCAATGTTGCACTGCTTGTTGAATCGACAGGTGTACTGTAGGTTTTGCCACACACTGGAAACATCAAAAGTTCGTTGGGTTCATATGATCAGAGAACGATTGATAAGATTTGATATCCTGTTTGGTATCTGACCCACCTTCTGCGGAAGAATCCTTTACAGCCGTTACAGGCGACTGCTCCATAATGTTTTCCAATTGCTTTATCTCCACAAACTACACAGAAGTCTGCTGATGTGGAAGTTGATTCCGATAGAGACGTACTCATTAGAAAGTCCATCTGCAAAAAATAGTACTGTATTCTATAATGTGATAAAACAATCAAGAAAAACGTTTCATGGAGCACACGTAAACTCCTACAACTACTTTTGCACTCGAAGGAAATTGATGGGCGTGGCTTTGTGTGCTAAACAAGGAAGTATTCTAGAGTCTTTGCCCGCCTCCATGAGCTATATTCGTGCTCCAAAGCTGCCGAGCAAAAAAAAATATACAAGGACACGCCCCATCTCGACATTTTTCCCCTCTTCTCCCCAAACGTTCAGAGAACAAAACAGAAGATAGTGGGGTGAGGTCCTGGGGGCCTAGGAGGTTGAAGATGGAGAAGGAAGAAGAGTCCTTCCATCTCTTTTTTGTTTCATTTCGAAAGGCAACATTTCAGAGCACACTACACACGAGCCGAGGCTTCTCAAGAATTTCAATTTTGACCACCACTCAGTAGTGGAGGCGGTTGAAATCTGGAGAAGATGGGAGGAAAAGGAAGCGGGCGGATAACATCACTTTAGTGTTCTATGTTTGGAATCTTTCTTTTGATTGGATTCACTTTCATTTTGGAAAAGAGCAAATGGGGGCTAGGTAATGTGATTTAATTTTTGCGGTGGTGATAGTGGGAGGGGGAGACAGTATGTAGTGAGAAAAGCTAACAATGGCGATAAAACAAAGAAAAAGAAAAAGTTCGATTAAAAATCATCAGCACTTGGGGGAAATGAAACAACTCAAGATCGTATCTATCTCAAAAACCAACCTCCTCAAAGCTATCATATTTGACAAGTGTAGAACAAAAGAATGTGGGTGTTTAGATGTTCATCATCCCCACTACCATCCCACACTCTCAGTTTCATTGCTCAGCACCTTACAAACAAACAATGATGGTAGCGAAAGATCATTGTGCCTAAGAACTTAGAACCCTACCGAACAAGAAGACAAGTGATTAAAAGTGAAGAGCAAGAGCGCAAAAAAAAGAAATTCACTTGGTTTCGGCACGTCCGCGAGTGTTTATCAGTCACGTCGTTCACGGCGGGGTGTTACTGATATCAGTGCTCGGGTTGAAAAGCTCAAAGTGAAAGGGCGGAGTCTAAGTGCTCGCGGGGTGGAGCATGAAACTACAGAATACCTAAAAAAGAAGAAGAAGGTTTCGAAGAAAACGCTTCAGAAAAGATAAGACACACTGCACAGCTCCATCGCGATTTTCACACCACTGGAGGGTACCCAGACAAATTCAGACACATTCATAGCGCATCTTTGCATTGTTTGTCGGCCGCCCTCCTATCATCTCTCACTCTCTGCCCCTACCGTAAGATCATCGTTCATAGAGAAACTACGTCATCACAATCGTTCGCAAAACTTGTTGCGCATCCTAAAGACTATGCTGCGGCGCGAGATGCAGCGTGAGGAAATATCGCAAAGACCATTTCGACGCAGACCGCCGGACCGTTGAGAGATAGTGGGTACAGTCAAGAGACACACACGCCGAAAGGGATACTTTCTAAAATTGGCGAACTATGAACGACGAAGGTTGAAAGAGGTACTGGCCAACTGGTCGTGTGTCATCTGGCCCCCGCGTTCGGAGGACACCGGGATTTCGGTATTTTTCGAAACAGCTTAGCAGGTCATTTTGAAACCTAAATCCAGTACAACGAAATACAATGCGATCCCCCAGTGATCTTTTTGATTTCTGCAATGAAACCAGTTTTCAGTTTTTGATCAATCAACTTTCTCTGATCCTTAAACTAGGAAGCAAGAAAGGACCGGAATTAGAATTTAGTCACACCTGAGAAATCACAGGATTTCGTTAATTTTCTTGTTAATGAATTCAAAAGATTCACTTTCAGAAGTTTCAGTATGTTTCTCGTGTAAGCTATGTAACTGAAAACTAAAAACAATCATATCTTGATTTTTTATAAATACTTACTGTTCATGTGATTCTCCAAACTGAAAAACATAATGAAAATTGATGGTTGTGTTGTCAAAACCTACAGTAACCCAAAGTCAAGTGTTTTTAGATGTTTGAAAAGTTAGATTCTACACGAAAAAGCACAAACATCATAGTGTTTCGATTTTGAACAGAACCTTCAAGCATTAATTCTTATTAGTTATTGTTCAGACTAGAATGCTATTATTTGAAGTGATACTCAACAACAAACAATTTTTTTCAGTGTTTTGTTTGAATCTATAGAAACTACTGTATGAACTTGACACTGGTTCACTGTAAACACTCTATTAGAATGTTACCGTATATTCACACTTTGAGCTCGATTAACTCAATTTCTAAAAGAGATACCAAAAATATGTCAGCTGATGAATTGTTAGTGATACTATGACAAACATTTTTTCAGTTATCACATTTTGGATTTCTTTCAAACTATGGAAACTGCAACAAAAATTTAATAGTGTCCCACCGTAAACTAGCAAAAAGCAAAAAATAGCAAAAAACTTATGTTTGCATTTTGAGCTGATTAATCTCAAATTCTATAAAAGATATCACAAATCTGTTAACTGATACAATGTTGGTAATATTATGACAAACAATTTTCTAGTTTACACATTTTGGTAAGTTGACGAAATTGAGTTTTAAAACGTAGAGAATGCCCTTATATTAGAATGTCTACGGTGAAACCCTATCAAAATTTTCTTGTAGATTCTACAAATTTGAAAGAATTATTATTAGTGTTTGACAGTACTTGCTAGACTATCAAATTTTGAAGAAATGTGATTAATATCCACCTACAGTAATCCAGACATTGTAAATTGTATGAAATATGTTATAATCTTGCAGTAAAAGTTCGTGTTCTTTATGTGTCAATTCCAGGAAGAAAAAATCTCGCGTGGTAGTTTTAGATTCGGATGCTATTTATGATGATTTCTGAAGAAGATACGTAAACCAACCCCCAAGACGCGCTCTTCTTCCTGCAAGAAAAAAAAGGATATATTATTTTTCGTACTCTCCAGAAACGTTTCCCGTTTCTGAAACATCTTCCTCCTCTTTATGGTCTCCGCTCTTGAATTCAACATCACTGCGGAGTGTTTGATGATTAAATATGCATATGATGTTTCATCTGCGGAAGCTTTTTTTCTGGATGCTTGTCCATGCAACCAGAACACAAAGAAAATAAAGTTTAGAGGAAAATTGGTTTCCTTTTTTCAAAATGCAGGTGCAACGTTTGAGGAAGCCAACTTTTTGTGTTGAAAATAGAATAAGAAATCATGACGTTGTCACGATTTTTAATTTTCAATTTTCAGCTTTCAGACAACACTGTTTCTTCTGCTTCCTGGTTTTTCGGATGTTGATGTTAGATAAAGTTTGAACTTTAGCAACATCTTCCCCCATTCTTCTTCTTCCTCTTCGGTTCCACAACAAGGAAAAAATGCAATAGAGTTTTTCTTCAGGCTGGCGACCCGAGCTTTGCTCTTCTTCCGCGTTTTTCTTCATAGCTCTTTGGAGCACAATCTATCCTATTCCGACCAGCGACCGTAGGCCACTTGCCACACGACGTGTTTCAAAACTAAACGCGGAAGCATTTTTTTCATCGTCCTTTCTCTCCCCCAGGAGCCACAAGCGAAGAAAAAACGAGGAGAAGAGGGTCCGAGGGGCAAGTGCCACGAGTTCAATGTTCAAAGTCCGGGCTTATCGAGTTGTGCTCAGATTTACATAGAATATGGTACTTTTTGCGGATTGGAAAGTCTTTGGGAGGGATGAAAAGGAATTTTTATAAAGTTGGATAGTACTGTAGCAAAGAAAAATGTAATTAAATATACAGCCACAAATATATGAAAAACGTTTTCTTATATGATTTTGACCACTTTTAGGGTTCTGAAGCTTGTCTGTCAAGTGTCCGATCACTTTTAATTTATCGGAGGCTTTCAAACAGACCTAGATTGAAAATTTTGTTTTACAGAACTTTTTGAAGATTCCTAGTTTTCCAAGTATTTTCTAATTTTTGAAAGACACTCCTTTCTTATCTGCATTTGTGCTAAAAACAGTAAAAAAGCCGGTGCCCTTCAGAAATCGCCAGATAACTAAAAAAAACTAGGAATTTTCAAAAAATTCTGTAAATGCTAAGTGTTCAATCTAGGTCTTTTTTTTAACCTCCAATGTTTTCAAAGTGATCGGAAACTTGACAGTCGAGTTCCAGACTTCTGAAAATGGTCAAGATCAGCTGAAAAATATTTTTTTCATATATTTATGTCCAGCTCTGTAAGTATCAAAAACACAAGTTCCTCAACGTTACAGTATTATATGTATGTGTTCCTCGAATCCTGAAGTGCTGATATTCTGTGGACTTTTTTCTCCCAAAGCAAGAAAAAAAAACTAAAACAGGAGGATACATAAAAATGCAAAAAGACTACTTTTGATGCTCCTCAAAATTCAATTACGTTTTAAGAAGAAGAAGAAACGATCTTAGGTCAAAGTCACATCACCTAACTTCAAGTTCCTCATGCCATGAGCAAGGAAGAGAGAATGATAAAGTTTTTAGTTTCAACTCAATCATAAATATGTTTGAATAATACACAGAATTAAACACAAAGGACAAAACAATATAGTGACATTTGAACGGAATGTTTAGAATAATAATATTTATGAAGTCAGAATGCGATCTTTACGCTTTATTTTTTCAATTTAGCTTGAACTCTCAGTTGAGTTAGCAACAATTTGAGTCCATCAACGAAAGTACATGTCTGCTCGAAACACAGGACACGAATTTTTTGAAAAAAGAGTTCCCAACAAGATTTATTAGGTTAGATTCAAAAACTGATTTGTTTGTAATCACTGACTCGATTGGTTTATGTTGTCTGTTTTTACCTGACTCATTTTTCAACATGTTTTAATATTAAAGTATTACTTCCCGTATTGGTTCATAGATTCCAATACTCCATATATAAGAAACCAAAATTAGAGATTCAGCATCACACTGAACTGTGATACCGTATACTCTGAAATGACCAGATACCCAAAAAAGAAAATCAAATATGATTTTCTCGCAATCTTTCTGCGTTACGTAGTGA